TCAATATGTTACAAAAAAATATGGCTTAGTTACATATGATAAATTAACTAAAATATCTAAATCAAAACCGTGCAATATTTTTGTCCTCCCCCGGTATATGCCTAACCAAAGTCACTATTTAAAAGACGACGACCGTAGTTAAAAAGAATTTTGACAGAATTATATGTTGAGAATCATGACATGGAAACACATAATAATAAATTTTCGGTTGATTTCTAACACTAATGCTTTGAGAAAAATGTTTAGGACAAATGATACCGGATAAAATCCATGAAACTAGTAACTTATTTTATTGAGATTGTTCGCCGGATAAACGATTAACGGACTAATACATTAAATTTCATAGAAACAAAAAGTAGATTACCTTTATAATACAACATTTACAATCTAATTGGTCAGCTCCAGAATATTCACTATCTGTATTACATGCCTCTCATCAACATTAGAGCTATTAGCTAAAGAGGCTTGTAATAATATGAAACAAAATGCATTATCACTATAACAAAGTAGAAGTGTTTCTTCTAAAATATCTTAAACGGTGAGCGCCATCTCAAAACGTTTAGTACCAGTTCGTTCCGTTATAGAAGGGCGGTTAGAACCTGGTATAATAATCAGTATAAATACCCAAGATGATCATTAAAAATTTGCAAAGAGTACCATCCAGAGATAAATACCTTCTAGTAAAATAACACTCTTAAGTAAAAAGTACGTGATGATGCAGATTAGAAATTCCTTCGATAATTTATACCTCATCGTAGCACCATGGATTCCTCAACAAAAAAAGAAATCGCTGTTTAACCCAAAAGTATATTAACTAAAAGAGACCTCGAATCATCTTGTAATCTTAAATAATAAGAAAAGGATGTAAGGACATTTAATGAAATATATATATCTTTCTCTATCTAGCTGCAATTGAAGTATTTTCATAAAAGATCCGTATCGGCGTTAAATTAATTCGAGCAATTAATAAAATAAATAAAAAAAATAATAAGCTATTACAATCAAACCTTTTTATACTCGATTTCTTTATAACAAAGATACCAAAGTTGTGCATCACGTGAAAGATCATAACATAATCATAATAAATTTATAGATTTACGGATTAATGAATAAAAATATCTACATGTGATCTTTATTTTTTTTGACTCCAATCAAAACTTTACGAAATAAACATCACTCCTCCAATTGAAAATCTTTTTAAAGGTGAAAATTTATACCAAAACCAAATGTTATAAGATATTACAATCAGAAACCATTTAATAAAGAATGTTCACGATACTTCGGTAAAATGAAAATTATTTCAACAAAATAGAAGTTTTTTATGCACTTTTGTTTCATGCAAATAAAGTATAAAATATCCTTTTTTTTTTAATCCGTCTCTATTTTTCGAAAATATCCTGTGAGAAACCACATCTAAAACCTTTGTTGGTAAGTGCAGTTCGATTTCTCCAGTTTTCTAAACAAGACTCCAAAGTTTCCATTGAAAATTTGAATCCATAACTCAATAGAAAGTTTTCACCAAATATAATTTCCCTCAGATTATTATTTGATGCCGAATTAACTAAGAAATTTTCGAACGTAAACTTTTTCTCAAGCCACCTGTATTTCTCCCTGTTCACGATGAATAAAGTCTTCAATTTTTTACAAGATCTTAGTAAGTTCTCAAATTCTATGAAATGTTCGCATGATGATGAAATTATAAGTGTCAAATATTCAATTAAAGGACAATTTTCAGAGATTGCACGTATAAGATCAAGAGATTCCTCATAAAAGTATTTATCGTGCTCAAATTCATTGACCAGGATTTTTCTGAGTCGCCCTTTGCTATTCCTAATTATAAGAGTGATCGTGTTGATTCTAATATAATCGATTTGTAAGATTTCAAGATTTTGAAAGGAGGAATTTTCCAATTGAAATCCAAATTCGAAATAAGTAACATCAATTGTTAACTTATTTAGTTTATGAAATTTTGAAAACCTTATTGGTAGAGGGGTAGAATAATTTTCATATATTGCAAAACTTGTTACTAAATGAACGAGAGTATCCGCTTTTCTCTCCAAGGCTAGGAATATTTCTGAATAATAAACTTCGTTAAAACGAAATATATTAAAATCATCCACCCATTTAAAATATTTTAAATTTGTCTGAGCCTCGATTAACTTAACGATACCGTTATTGGCTTTTGTGTCGTTATTGATAATGACTAGTCCTTGTATGGATTGACAGATAGATGCTAATCTATAAAAGTATGTTTGATCAATCGATACATCACATGTTAATTCGTAAAGTGAGTAAAGGCAAGACCTAGCTTCCGGAAAATAAAATATCTGATGCTTGATTGATCTCATATCCAAGTACTTTAATCTTGGACATTTCCTCATGAGGAGACTGTAGATTTCTTGTTGTAAGAGAAATTGGTAGGTCAAAGAAGAATCGATAAAGATCATGTTGTTTATAGCATTTGAGTTGATGCTCCTGCAAAAGGACAAATAATCAAATAAAGGGGATCGATGAAAAATGTGAGGTAATTGGATATCTTGACTTTTGAGAAAATTCTTGAATATATCGGATAAAAAGGAAATGACAATACAGTTCAATGAATTTGTCTTTTGAGAGTTGACATGATTTTCATGACACCAAGGATTTCTCCATAAAATCGGGACCGCGGTCTCACACCAAAGTGTATTCACCAATAGACACGAATGGAGAGACTTTAAATCATTCTGCAATTCTTCAAATAATACGAAAAGGATATCCTTGCTTAATTTAGACATGTAAAAGGTAGAGAAGCAAAAGAAGTTGAAACCTTAATTTTCAAAATTATCAAATTATCGAATTATTAATATCCCGCAGTATTTATTTTTGATATTTAATTCCGCAGTACTATTTATTTCCAAAGAAAGAGGAAAAAAAAAGAAAGGCAAAAAAGGTCTCACTCATTTTCATCCATTTAAATAAAAAATTAACCATTTATGTGAAAAAACAACTGCTCGTATTACGTTATTGCATACATGCATAAGCGATGTGGCGGATCGAAGATCATTTACCCTTTTCCTGGTACTAAATGTGGCGCAGCATTATTTTAATTAAAGGATTCGCGATACTTTATTTATTTAGTTAAAATTAGATAATATTAAAAATAAAACAAAACAAATTTTGTAGATCGTAAAAATATTCCATTTATTTTAAAATATGGACGCACTTAATGTAGAAAATTATGAGATTATTCATAAATGCCCCAAATTAAAGAGTTGCCGAAGCCATATCTGAATGTAATTTGTTAACGATCAAATAATCGTTCCTTATTAGTGTGAAGCCAATCAAATCATTATCTCCTTGGGATAAATTTTTGCAAATCACCGATATAGAAATTTATTATTATCGATTAAACGTATCGTATATAACTTATACCTCAGTATTTTTTATTACAAAGAGAAATTTATCCGATGAATCCGTCAATTTCTTATCCGGCAACTTTTGTTCGATAACAGTCAGACAAAAAGACTATTTTATTATTTTATTTTATTTTATTTTTTTTTTTACATATTTAAATTCTACTAAATTGATACAGTCAAACCTCTATATAACGATATGTCGGGACATATAGAATTTTTTTTAAAAATATCGTTATATCAAATTATACCGATATTTATATGAGTATAATGGGTAAATAAAATTTTATCGGTATATAAAGTTTTTAATAGTATATCGGTATATAGAATATCGGTATATAGAGGTCCGACTGTATACTGTAATCCGGATTTGTTTATGCGCCACTCGTCAATCATTCGACCATACGTTTTTTTAAATCAAGTTAGGTTAGGTTACTATTAAATAAATGATTTTCAGAAATTTTTTTTTTTCATTGTAAATGAAATGGCCTCTGACCGGATTATCTCAACTATTCTCTCAATTGTTTGAAGATGCAGATGACTATGATATTATTATCAAAGTTGGAGAGGATCCCAATAAAAGAGAATTTCGTGCACATTCTAATATCTTGAGAGTTCGTTCTCCTTATTTTAAAAGAGCCCTTTCACAAGATTTGGATACAGATGAAAATAACATGTTCAACTTTACTAAATCAAATATTTCTCCCACCGTCTTTGAAATGATAATTAGGTAAAAATTTTTATTTATTCGTATTTTTGAATATACTCTATATTATATTAATAAATTTGATATTAAATCATAAAATTAAAAATTAAAACCCTTTTTTATCAGGTTTATGTATACTGGCATTCTTGATTTGAGAGAACATCTTGGTTCCACTATTCTTGATATTCTTGTAGCTTCTGATGAATTGCTTATTGAAGAGTTAATTAATTTTGTACAAAATTATTTGATTGAAAATCAAGAAAAATGGTTGCAACTAAATCTTATCAAAGTTCTTAACACTGTTTTTCAACTGGAAAGTTGTAAACAAATTCATAATTATTGTTTGGAAACTATTTGTGATGATCCTGAACCTATTTTTAATTCACAAAATTTTCCAACTTTAGAAGAAAATATTCTACTCGAATTAGTTGAAAATGAAGATTTACAAATCGAGGAAATTGAATTATGGAATTGTCTTATTAAATGGGGGATAGCTCATACTTCAGAATTGAGAGAGAAATCAACTAATAATTTAGATAGTTGGAATAAAACGGACTTTTTGAATTTGAAGAATACTCTGAACCAATTTATCAAACATATTCGAATGTTCGAAATTTCTTCAAATGATTTTCATAGTAAGATTTGGCCTTTTAGGAAGGTGATACCTCAAACTCTCTTTGAAGATATTGTGTCGTTTCATATGTCAAATACTGAACCCAAACAAAAATTTATTGGCTCCTCGTTCAAAAAAAATTCTTGTTAATTCAATGATTATTAAATCAAAACATGCGGCTATTCTTACTAACTGGATTCAGAGAAAAGATTCTAATTCAAGAATTCCAAAGGATATTGAATGTTCTTTTAATCTTATTTACCTTGGAAGTAGGGATGGTTATGACATCAATAATATACGAAGTAAGTGTAATGGACATAAAACATGTATTTTAGTTATTAAAATTGCAGAAAATGATACAATAATTTGTGGTTATAATCCTATTGGATGGAAGTACAATGTTCAAAATCAGAACAATTCTAATAGAGGTAAAAGTAAAAAAAGTCAACTTAAAAAAGTTTCTAAAACTAAAAAAAGATTCTAAAATTAGTTCGTTACATAAAGATTATTGGGTTAATACTACCGAAAGTTATATTTTTTCTTTAGGTGATGGAAACGATTTGAATAATTTTAAAATTAGTCGAGTTGTGAATAGTAAATATGCAATTTATGAATCGAATTATCAAAGTTTACCATTATCTTTGGTAATAGTGATTTAGTTATCAATGGAAATGCTGGCACATGCAATCAAGCTCGATATGAAAGTAAAATTTTAGATACTAATAATTTTACTATAGAGGAAATGGAGATTTTTAGATTTTCTCAAAATTAAATATGAATTTCGTCTTTTTTATTTCAATTTATTAAGTTAAAAAATGTAAGTGATTTATAATAAAACAAATTATAATATTACGTCATGTTATCGCGTGTGATGTTACGTTAATATTTATAAATTTATAAATTTATAAATTAAAATTTTTCTTCGTTCCAACAAATCACGTATATAATAAAATGCACCGTTGTCTAGAACGCCTTCTACGGTAGATCGCATTGTTTCTTAGATTCCTTGTGATTTTAAATAAAAAGACATAAAAGCTCCGGTTTTACATACCAATAATCAATTCATATTTAAACATAGGATAAACAAGATGAGTTGGAAAGTGTATTAAATAAATACAAAGGAACCGGTATGGCTTAATCTTGGCCAGCATCAAGCAAATAAAACTAGAATTTAAATATATTCACGTGATTTTATTTTATTAAACTTCAAAATCATCATATCACACTCTTCAACTTGCTTTCATTCTCTTCAAACATATCTGAATTATCAAAAATCATCAAATGAATAAAACATTCACTCGTCACCTTGTTCGAAATCAAAAAAGGTAAAAAAAAAAGGTTCATCAAAAAATACGAAAGTAAGTTCGAAAATAAACGCATTAAATTCACCTTCTTGTCCTTGCTTTGCTTGCAAATTACGCATTAACTCATTAACCTAAATATAATGATGTATCATATTCGAATAAAGCAATAATCTTGTTTTAAATTCAAACAACTTTTTCAATAATTTTACCCTGCTTATAATTTGATCGTCTTTCGATTCACTATCATTTCTCCGTCTTCATTGCCACATCATCATTTTCCCGATTCATCTTCACGCGCATTAATAATTCGTCAAAATTCTCGTCATTTAATACTTTACCTTCAGTTAATGCCTTGAACTTTCGTCTCATATTCTTTCTTTCTTATCTTTGTTAATTCACTACGTTTATAAAAGCTAATTTAAAAAATTGTGACAAAAATAGAATGATGAAATTTAGCTGACATCACAAAAGTCTTGAACAGATTCAGGTGATTCAATAATGGTTTTTAACAAAGGATATATTATGTCACATATTTGAAAAACCGCAACATCTTGAAGTTCCATCAAAGATATGCTGTATAAGTTTTTAAAAAATGTGAATGTGAGAATCTCATAGCTACAAACTTGGACGAACGTCACGTACCTGAGGAAACCACAACGGAAAATGGCAGCACAGAAAGTTACAAGTAAGATTTATGGATTTATGAGCATTTATTTCTTAGCATCTTGTATCAAAAAAAATTTTATGATGAGCATAATAACGGTTCCTATAACATGAATAAAAATAACATTTTGGCGCTCGCTAACTAGGTCTTTTCATATGCATTCGAAATCAATGTATTTATCTTTTTCTGAGTAATGCAAGAAAAAGGCTATCTATCCCACATAGACTATATAAAAGTTTATATTAAGATGATAGAATTTCGAATCTACGACATAAATCCGAGTTTAGCAACAATGAGGTAGACATAAACAATTCCTATCATATATTTAATTTAATTTGTATATCATCACATTCAAGAAAGTTGTGGTTAACAATGAGTAATTGATTTTTGTTACGATATTGTGCAATATATTGCGCCAATTTTGCACGATTCCAACATATTTTTGTTGTTAATAGACTATTCTGGACTTAATCATAAGAAATTTTTACTTTGGTTTAATTGCCGTTTTTTAGTCATTTTGACACGTTTAATTTTTTTTTTGCATAAAGTCAGTTCGTTATAATCTTACAGCGATAGCCTTATTAGGATAACTTACATGAGGAAACGAAGTAATGAGTAAAGTTGATAGTTTAGATTAGGTAATAATAAGTCCTGTATTACCTTTTGGCGAGTCAGATTTCCTAAAATATTCGATTTGTAATCTTTAACAATTTGACGCACATTCTGTACTAAGTATAAAAATTCATTCCTTTTATGTGCTGTCTTCAAGTTTTCTCAGCCCTTCTTTGTTTAAGAGAAAATTTTAAAAATTTGTTTTTATTTCGAACACAAAATTATATTATGATATCGCGAAGTATTCGTTTGCACTCAAACACCTTTCAACAGAGTATTTTGACTTAGACATTTATAGGGGAGGTATCTTTTTCTTTCCCTTTAACCATTCCTCCCCTTATTTAGAATAGTTTTTTTTTCAACTGTTTATTTTATTTAACAACGAATGAGATTTTGGTTTTCATGATGATTAAAGATTTTAATAAGGTTTAAATTGAGAAGCATTTCATGTGGCATCTTTATAGTCAAACTTAGGGTAGCGGTTTGGTGAATTGATGCAGATTACCCCCGTGAAACGCTATTCTAGCCCAAGAGTTGTTGTTTAACGTGTAGGCTCCTTTGATGAATATCAAAATTTTGTTGGGTTTTGCACATGAACTCCTTCTTTGGTATCTGTTATGATCTTTCTTCTCACGATTTCCTTTTTTTTTATTCATTGTTAGTAAATTACATATATTCTTGGGTACTTTCCTCTAACATTTTTTCATTCATTTATCTATTAGGTGGTGGAAATTTTATAATCGCGTCGTCTAATGATTATATGGAGAAGAAATTACTTCAATTGTAAATAATGCAGCCACGTTTTTAAAACGTTACGACAATGACGTTTAGCTATTATAGGAAGTATCTTTTCTTTTACCCTTTAACGATCCATCCATTTTAGAAATTTTTTATATTTCGTTTCAAACTGTTTTTTATTTAACAATGAGATTTAGGTTTTCATTTAGATCGAGGATATTTATAAGGTTTGAATTGAGAAGTGGCATCTTTTGTTATCAGACTTAGGGTAGCGGTTTGATGTGATTACCCCCGTGAATTGCTATTCAGGCCCAAGAGTTGTTTAACGTGTAGACTCCTTTGATGAATATCAAAATTTTGTTGGGTTTTGCACATAAACTTCTTCTTCGGGTAGCTTTTATGATCCTCCTTCTCAGGTTTACCTATTATTTTATTCATTGTTTCGAATTACAGTTTCCCTTTCCTGTCCATATATTCTTATTACTTTCATCTAACTTTTTTTTCCTTTCATTATCTAATAGGTGACGGATTAGTTTTCTATAGCGACCAGCGCAGATTATGTAAAATTATTATTTCGCAAGAGATCGCCTGCGAAATAATTTAATATCGAACACCGGAAAGTAAAGGCAGAATATAAAAAATGCAATACCGTAATTTGGTATTCCCCATTCCGCCTTTTATCTGTAAAGTAGAACACTTGGCGATCTGCCCGTGCTGGCGATAACGATCACGATTTTCTAAATAGATATTAGTAATAATAGATAAAAAATAAAGACTAATATGAGAAGTATTTAAATTGTTATAACTTACCGATTAGTATTCAAAACTAATAGATTATGATTAAAAAAAAAAAAGTATAAACAATCAGAGCTTGGTCAATTTAATTACGAAATTCATTTTTTTTAGCATAAATAATGAGTTCTGCATCTCCTCAAAACTGTAATGACCACCCATAGTAGTTTTAAAAAGCGACAGGATTTTTTAGAGCTAGGATTTTGAAACTTCTAGATACAGAATTTAAATTATTTTAAATATTTATTCTCAAAACTATTTTTGTGTAACCCAGAACTAAAACAATTATTTTATTCTATTCATATTTATTTAATTAAATAAAACCTTAAAATTTGTACACGTTCGAAAGCTGTCATACATTCTTTATTAAAAAATAGTATTCATAAATGTTCGCTTTTTAAATCAACAAACTCTACTCGCGTCTAAAGCTTTTTTGTTATTAAAATGCCTCAAATACTGCATAAAATCATATTTAGGATCAAATTAATTCATTGCTGGTGCGACATTTAAAATGAATCAATCATTACTTCTGGGTAATTTGAAACAGAAAATTGATACTTTATTGTCATCATTTTACGTACTGCATCACATCACATCGCGTTCGACGCAAGTGATTGATCAATAATATTTCTGAGCTTAAAGTTACGAAAAGAAAAGCTATCGCTTAATTTTTATAATGGTAACTAATTTTTTTTTTATTTATTATTAGGTATGTTAAACAAGCTGAGCTGGCTCTGAAATGCTTGATCTTGTTGTAGCATCCGATGAATTACTTATTGATTTAAGACCAAACCAAACTAGAAGGTTAGTTCTCACGCACGAAAAGACCTTTTTATAGATATTTTTTTATCATGTGATTGTGGCGTTCTTTCATGTCGATCAATACACACCAATATAAAAGAGCTCAATAATTATCTTACTAATCTTACTAAAAAATGATTTTCGAATTTTTTCCCAGATTGTCTCAAAATTTTTCTCAATTGCTTGATGATGCGGATGATTATGATGTTATCATCAGGGTTGGAGAAAATCAAGAGATTAAAGAATTTTGTGCCCATTCCATTATCTTGAAGTCTCGATCTCCTTATTTTAAAATAGCTTTCTCGCAGAATTGGATTTCAAAGAAAGATAATAAGATTATCTTTAATAAACCAAATATTCCTCCTAGAATTTTTGATATGATTATTAGGTAACACTTCATGAATTTATTTAATAAAAAATCTTTAAAATACGACTTGAAAGAAAATATTATATTTTTAACATTTACGTACTATTTTTTAAGGATTAATAAATAAAAGAAATGCAAAACTCACAAATATTTGAATTGAGCTAATGTTTATTATATATATATAGATATATATATTCTGGTGTACTTGATTTGAATGAACAAGATGATATACTTGATCTTATTATCGCATCCGATGAATTGCTTCTTAATGAACTGGTCACATCTGTACAAGAATATTTGATTAAAAATCAAACTGGATGGTTACAACAAAACATTGTTAAGGTTCTTCACATGGCTTTTCAACTAGAAAGCTGTCAACAACTACAAAATTATTGTTTAGAATCTATTTGTGACCATCCTGAACCTTTATTTAATTCGCCAGATTTTCCAACATTGAAACAAAGTATCCTGCTTGGTATAGTTAAAAGAGAAAATTTAAAAATCGAAGAAGTTGAATTATGGAATTATCTTATTGAATGGGGGATAGCTCAAGCTTCGGAATTGAAAGAAAAGGATTTGAATAATTTAAGTAGTTGGAGTGAAAATGATTTTCTGACTCTAAGTAGAAATTTGAATCATTTTATCGCATATATTAGATTCTTTGACATTGCTTCAAAAGATTTTCATAGTAATGTTCGGGCTTTTAGGAAGTTGCTACCTCAAACTCTCTTTGAAGATATCGTGTCGTTTCATATGTCAAATACTGAACCCAAACTAAATAAATTGGATCCTCGTTCAAAAAAAGTTCCTATTGATTCAATGATAATTAAACCAAAACATGCGGCTACTCTTATTAACTGGATTCAAAGAAAAGATGCTAATGCAAGAATTCCAATTAATAATAAATATAAATTTAACCTTATTTATCGTGGAAGTATGGATGGCTTTGGTACCAATGATATACGAAGTAAGTGTGATGGACATGAAGCATGCATTTTAGTTATAAAAGTTAAAGAAAATGATACAATAATTGGTGGTTATAATCCTATTGGCTGGAATTATAATAGCAATACTTTTTTTGTTAAAGGAAGGAAAACATCACGTAAAGGACATAGACTTGATAGAGCCTTTAGTATTAACAGTATAATTGAAGATTATTGGGTCAATACTACCGAAAGTTTCATTTACTCTTTAGGTGATGGAAACGATTTGAATAATTTTAAAATTAGTCGAGTCATCAATAATAATTATGCAATTTATGAATCGTATCATCAACATATACCAATAAATTTTGGTTATAGTGATTTGGTTATCAATGGAAATGTTGCTGGCACATGCAAAAAAGCTTATTATGAGAGTTGCATTTTAGATACCTGTCATTTTACTATCGAAGAAATGGAAGTTTTTGTGTTTCAAGATGGTGATGATGAATAATTGTGATATTATTATTTTTATTATTTGATTACTAGCTAATTTCCTTTACAATATAAGATTATTTTAGATCATTTTTCACTGATCCTAAAATAAATAAAATGTAAATTTTCGTCAGCAATAATCGTATATGCATGCGCAATACAAAATATAGCTTTAAAAAAACTTCAAAAAATTAACGATCATGATAAGAAAGCCTTGATGTACCGATCGGTATTACATGATTCCCGTAATTTTTTTTATAAAGGCGTTATATCAATGGAAATAATGGTCAGATGTTATTAAATTTTTGAAATATGACTTCTGACAATAGTTATGATTCACCTTTTTCTAAAAGTAAAATGAAATCAAATAATAATTCACAATTTAACCTGCACGTTAGCTAAATGTATTTTAGCAAATAATGTGACGAGGTATATTGTTATTAATCAATAAAATAAAGACACCATTTCCGAAATGATAATTTTATTTTAGAATATATTTATAAAAAAGCGATTGGATAAATAATTCCAGTACGATTTTCAAATAATATATCTCGTTCCCGGAAAATTCAATCCCGGTAGTAAATGCAGTAATATATCGATGAGTAGAATCATGGACGAATGATTAGCAACGAGTCCGCTAATTTACCCCCCCCCCCCCCATTTCTGATTGGCTGGTAATAAAATATTTTAATTGTCACATACACAGGGGGTGACAAATAAACATCACAACCCAAAAATATTCCAAGTCCCTCAGATACTTATAAAAATTGAAAATCACTTAAGCCTAAGCCTAACCCTAACTAATATTGATTATAATAGCCAATCAGAACTTGGGGTAAATTAGTAAACCCGATTAGTAACCTGCAACTTTCCTTGATCTATTATGTGATTATCAGATTCGTGAATTTATTGATGACATTACTTCATTTTTAATCTCAAAAAGGAACTTGTGTTGTTAATAAAAGCCTTGACAAATTGGATAATCAGTCAGTTGTTAGATTCTTTTCAGTTGACTCATCCATCGACTCTCATTTTATATTTAAATTTTAAAATTTTAAAATTTTATTGATTTTTTATAAAGTATATAATAAATACTCTTTAGCCAGAATCAAGTTTGCACATTGACTGAAATTATAATATTAAATCTGTTTTAAGATATGTGAATAGTTTTGACTTTGTCGTCAAAGTAAAATTAAATAAAACTGATATAAAAATCAGTTTAAAATACATGAGGTAAATAATTATAGGGATTTGATATATTATATTAATTAAATTTTTATTATTTGACGAACATTTGACTTGAATATTATTGATGCCTCTTTCATATATTTTCTAATATTTGGATATAAATATGACAATATCAATCAGAAAGGTTCAATGAAGCAATTGAAATAAAAATCATAATTTCATAATTAGATCAATTACTTAACATATATTAATAAATTAAAGTCTTAGATACTTCAAATTAAGTTTAGATTTGTATATTTATTAGAATGCCTTTGAATACCAAAAGTGAAATAGCTTTACATTCTTTGCTTCTTATTAAATAATAAATATTCAATAAACATATAGTAAAATTTCTAAAGCAATACAATCAATTATATTTCACAAGTTGCTTCAAGTTAATATAATGCTTTCAAAGAAATCCTCCCAAAATATTCATGTTTATAAGAAACAATTCACATAAATAATGCTTTAGAGTTGATGAAAGATACTCAAAAATGATTCCTACTGGGAAAGGACAAAAGTATTACACAGTATTAATTTAGATATTTTAGTTAATTTATCATATGTAACTGAGTCATATTTTTTTAGTAATATATTGATTATCAATACATTAATAAAATAATTTTATTATAATTTGAAATAATGTTACAATTCATAAAATTGTTTTAAAAATGCTCCCAAGTTTGATTTTACACAAGCGATAGTATTTATCTTTTAGAAAAAAGAGTATTATTACAGCAAAAAATTGGATTAAGTATCTCAAAAATCATAAATGTTATAGAATGATATTATATATATGTAAAAAATTAAAAAGTAATGTGTTTTTAACTTTTTGATTTAACACCTTGTAATGCTTTAATTTTAACAATTATTTAAATATTTTATCAAGTATAAGAGCCAATATATTATTAAAAAAATATGGCTCAGTTACATATGATAAATTAATTAAAATATCTAAATTAAACAGTGAAATACATTTTGTTATTCTCCGGTACTTTCTAAGTTTAACGTTAATACTTAATTATAAGAAAGAAAGTAAAAATGTTAGATAGTTATTTTTAAAAAAAAAGAACCAATCTGTCTTTTTAGAAGAATTTAATCCTTCGCTGATTTGCATTTTTTATTATTTAAAAATTTAAAATAAATATAAAAATATTTGGTTTTAACAATTAACAATTTCTTTTTTAGATAATAACTAACCTGAAACAGAATCTACAGGATTCATATATTGGTATAATAATCATGGCTTATCACATATTTTTTTGTATAAATAAAATTGTATTTATTATTAAAAAATAAAAAAATTTGAAAAATTTCATTAAAACAAACTTAATAAACTTAAACCTGAATAATCTGAATTAAGCGATTTTTTTTATTATTTTTCTATAAAAGCTAATTTCGTTTCTATTACTATAAATTCTATATTCTTTATTAAAAATTTTTCTTAAATTATCATCATAAAATTATCTGATGATATATAGGCAAAAAAGGGGATTCTGATGCAAACTCCAAATCTGTCTACGATCCGCCTACAAACCCAGTTTGCTATATGATTTCCAATATCAAATTCAAAGCTCTAGTGCTTTTTTGACTCAAATATAGATAATGTTATCGAACTTAGCTAGGAATTAGCCTGTCTGATACCAAGAATTATACTG